TACACAAGTATGTAACAAGTAGCTACATAAAACGTTATTGGGATTTCTTAAGTACTTAAGAAGTAAAAGCGTAGCAAATGTTAGAAGGAAAAGGACCTATGTGAAATTATGAATATTATATTATATATAGTTTTTTTAGATACAATCTATATGTATATAAAAGTATAAAATAAATACATTAATTTGGTTTATGTACGCTTTAAAAAACTCAAAAGGTGCTCCACCGATTCAACTCAAATTTTGACACAATGCACAAACCGCTTCAATGATTATTTTTCGCAACAGTTTTGTTTCTCATTCCTCAGACTCTTCACAATGTCTCTTTAAAAATCGCATGTTTCGAAACAATATTCTCAAATGTGTCAAACCATACGTAATACTGTAGGATCTGAAACATCTCCATTTAATGTCCACACATAACCTTCAAATGCTTTCTCAGCGTTGGAAAGTTCTAAACAAACAGTTTTGATTTATATAGAATAAAGCCGATGTCGACGCAATAGACTTAAAGTGACTCGTGTAAGGAAACCATTGTGATCGACAGCCAGGAAGACCTTGAGGTATAAATAATCCCAGTTTTAGATATATATAACTTGAGATTTTGCTACTTTGCACGTCATACAACTATAAATCGTAAGTGGTCAGCCGTAACGTTTGACTGCATGGATGGCGTAATAGTTTAAGCGGTCGCCATGCCGTTTCCTATTGCGATGAGTGTTAAGGGTTCGATCCCCACATGGGACACCACTTTGTGTGATCTACCAATTGTTGTTCTGAGTCTGGGTGTTCTTTGTGTCTGTTTCATGTATGTTTGAAAAGTTCCCTGCGACACAGGATATATATTCGTAATGCGGAAGTTGTGAAATAAAAACAAAAAAAACAATATAAGTAATTCCCATGGACCGTACTGCCTACTAGTAATACTCATTATTTGTATTTACAAAAAAAATACAAGGTCTGCTTAGTTTGGTTTGACTAGATGGGGTTGTATGAATTTGGTACAATATTATTATTATCATTACGAACTTACCCGAACTTTTCTATGTATAATATGTATGTATTTACAAAAAAAAAAGTATTCTATCAGTCAATCTAGCTTTCATAGTACAAGCTCTGCTTAGTTTGAAACTAGATGGCGTTGTGTGTCAGACGACTGTATATTGTAATTTTATATATATTATCCCTGGGAGAGCCATGCCTCGACAATAATGGTCTGGCGTGACCGGAGTGACGTCATGGCCTCACAGAAAATTTGTCTTAAGCGAAATTTTCGTTGCTTCTCACCGAGTTAGTAAGTTCACCGGAGCTCAAACTCCAAATCCCTCTGATTCTGTGGCGGATTCAATTTACTAGTCCAATGCTGGACATTGACCTCTCCTTTGTTTGTTTGTTTATTTATTTTTTTCGTTAAAAAAAATTACGTTACCATAAAATAAAGTATTTAAAAATTGGAATAAAAGGCGTACTATGTTTGTCATAAAATCAATTTTTATAAGTTGTATTATAAGAAAAGTATAATAATGGTGCCCAAGTCACAATTCGATTTATCGTAACAATTTTTCTCATCCGAAAAATGGATTTGGGTGAAATCATTTTTCACAACTACATATGTATATTAAAGCTAGCTAAGCTAGTTTGACAAACTTGTATGTTAAATAAACTAGGCTTCATGTGTAATTTGACTAGCCTGTTGGTCTTGTGGTTAGTGACCCAGAGGTCGTGGGTTCGATTCCCACCCAGGACAAATAATTGTGTGATGAGCATGGCCATTTATTCTGTGTCTGGGTGTACTTTATTTATAATATGTATGTATTTATAAATATATAAGTGTGTTTATCACCAGTCTGGTTACCATAGTACAGGTTCTGCCTAGTTTGGAATCAGACGGCAGTGTGAAATATGTGAAAATATTATTATTTTTACTAATAGTAGCTTCAATATTCAAGAAACTTTTGAAATCATCTAGGCATTCCCTTATGATTTAGAATTATCTACTAATTTATTTATTTATTTATTAGGATCTCCTACGAAAGATATACACAAGTGAAAATAGTAATTGACAAAATGGGTATAAAGTCGGTGTGAAAAAATAATAATACCAAAATTTAAATTCTTAAAAGAAAAAAAATTAAAATATTGATCTATGAATAAAATACGTTAGTGTAAAAGAAAAAGAGATTAAGTGCGTAACACGAAATAACCATGAGAGGCTTAACTATAAAAATATGTCGATCTCCTAAAAATCACTTTGTTTTTGTGTTTTTCAATCAACATAAAAGGATTATCAACTAAACATTTTATCTACCTACCATAAAATATTCCATCTAAACTTAAAAATAATCAGCTAATGAATATTTAATGATTGTGATAATTCTACAAATTTAAAAGACTGCTGTTTTTCTTTTTAACCTTCTTCAAAAACACAAAAGTGACAGTTCTTAATTCGATTTTTTTTTTTTAGATAATATAAGTAAAATTCTCTGTTTTCTCTTGCACCTACAGCATCATTTTTCTACATCACCCGAAGTTCGACTGGCAGAGAATGCCTTGGGCATTAAGTCCGCCTGTGTACAACTTGTGCATTAAGTTAAATAAATAAATAAGTAATGTGAACTTCTTGCTAAACTAGATTTTTGTGAGATATTCTAAGGTTTATTAAAATAAACACTTCTTCTTTTCTCCAAGCCTTTTTAGCTAACTAGATTGGGGTCGGCTTTAAGCCTACTACGATAAGGCTGAACTTCGATTTATTACGCGTAGCAACTGCCGTCAGACCTCCACAACCCAAGTACTAGGTGATATCGAAGTTCTGTAAAAAGGCTTTTCGGACTTTTTAGGGCTCCAACTACCCGTAACGATTGCCACAGATATTCGTATGGCAATTGGGACCGATGGCTTAACGTGCTGCCGCAGGCATTTCTTTGTGAGGTAGGTATATCAAAGCGCTTCTTCTTTTAAAATTTATTTTTTTAATGGAAGACCAAAGGCTATAACAGTAGTGTATGACATAAAAATACGCAACATCAAGCCAATTACAGATCCTCACTCTTAACATCGAATTGAACAACAAGATTTGATTTTAATTATTTAGAATTTAAAAATATTTTAAATTCTAAATAATTAAAATCAAAATTACAAGAAAATTAAAATTAAATTCATAACCAAGCTTCAAACCAAAATCAAAATAATTAATCAAAATAATTGATTTGATTTGAATAAATTAAAATTAAAATCAAAAGCCAAATTCATAATTAAAACAAAAAAAAAACAGAATTCAAATCAAAATCAAGATCAAAATCAACATTAAAAACGACTAATAATCAAAATCACAATTAAAAAACAAAATCAGAATCAAATAAAAAACAAAGTCATAATCACCGTCATAATCAAAAACCAAATCCAAGGCTTCATCACAGTTAACAATTATAATCAAAATCAAAATTGGAATCAATACCAGAATAAAAATTCTGATATTCCAAAAAGCATTCCCTACTTAGCACCCGCCTCATCGACACCAAGTTCCCATCGAATACGTCAAAGTTATGTAGCTCGCTAGACAGGTTTAGGGTTTTACTAGCTCGCCGGATAAAACTATTCTGCCGATAGTTCGATGGCGCTAAAGGTAAGTGAAAAGGAGAAGTTGGGGGCAACTAACTGAGTGGGAACGAATCTTTTCCAAATAAATAACGTCAGCAATATCAAAATTAAATATTTTATAATAATAAATTTCTTTCGGTTAGGTTTCTCTAATATAGGCTCTTCTAAATATATATGTCATGTATATAGCATTTCATTTTCAACAATTTATATTGATTGTAGAGATAATAAGTTTTTAAACTGAATAAGTTTGGATTCTTGAACCTGACTGACATATTTTCTTTATTCGGACCACGGAAAACGGCAAACAACGGCTTACTATCAGGTAGTAAGACACCTCAAGTAACTCAAAACACATAACTGCATCGCCTACTTTAAGTGCCAATGAGCGAGAGGAGGGAAGGGTCCTCTTACTCTTAGGGGGTCTCCCCACATTCGATCGGCTAAAAAGCAATGTAACAATTAATCAATTTATTTGGTTTTCTAGGAGGCCCTGGCATCTTTCCGGTCGAGCCGGTCCTAACGTGCCGAAGTATGTAAGCAGCATTAAATTACTAGTTTTTTCTTCTATAGACTCATAAGTAATATTCATTTTATCATAATTAAACACAGCAGGAACGACATGCCTGGCTTAAGCTTGACAAACGAATTGATCACACCGATTTGAGAAATACACGTGTGTGTTTTAATCACTGCGTTAAATCTTAAGATTACCCGCGATAGTGATAAATGTTTGATATGAACGATGACCACAAAACAAAACCTTTCGGACTTTCACCACGAATTTGTGAATCTTCCTGGCTCACATTAATGTATAACGTAGTGTGGGGTTTTACAGTTTACAGTAACACATACATATGTGTACATTGCACATGTACATAAAAATTTAATAATTCTCTGCCACAGAGACGCTTATTGTCGACCGTTGAAACATTTCAGTACACGTTATTAAAATTTGTTAATTTTAGTTTTACTGTGCCCTGAAAGACGTCTTGATCTTTATCGACAACTTGACATCGTCAAAATTCAGTCATTCGAGTCGATCAGGCCAAGCGAATACGTTGTCTCGTACTATGTCCCGTCCATCCCGTCCCGTAAGGCACCTAAATTTTAACGACCTGCGGTTTATGGTGTGCATTAACCATTAGCCAGTAAGTCAGGACAATCCTTTATACATAAACGAGATTGGTCTGATGCCACTTAAAGGAATGTATTTCACTGGTAAAATGTATTTTTAAGACGCTCCTTACTTATATTTATTAAAGACTATGAAAAATATAAAGATGAAAATAAAATAAGACGTTTTGATATTGATTAGATTTCTAATCTCAATTGCTTTAATAATACATGATATAAATAAGCGGATATGTGTACAGTTGAATCATTTTATCATCGAGTAGTTATCAGCGAACGTAATATGTATACGGAGCTGCGTATGTGTATGCGGAGTACGGGAGAGCGTAGTCATATGCGCTGGTGTAAGCCACAGGCGCTGTGTAGGCTGCAGCAACAGGAGAAACGTAATCGTATGCTGCTGCTAATGGATATTCCACTACTAGTGGCTTGGGCTTGGCTGCGGCGAAAGCCAGGAGAGCGGTGAACACCATCTATCGAAATGTAATTAGTTCTTAAATATGTCCCTAGACAATTGAAGAAGGCAAAGCCAAACAGGTTAACACGAAAACCAATATCTATACATGCATAGAAATTAATCTTCATCAACAGCCTTTAATAGTCCACTGCTGGACACAGGCCTCTCCTTACAAAAGAGGTTATGGCCTACTATACCATCTTGGCCAGATGGCATGATATAGGGTCTGTTTCAAGTTTTCCCCCTTTAAACAGTGCTGTTATCCTCCGTAGTTTGCTCCCTTAGAATATTGCATAGAAATTAATGTTTTAATATTATAATATGAGCAGCGTTTGTTCAATTTCGTCTGTTCTTTTTTAAATTGCCGTATCTTCTTAGGCGACCACAAAACAGAACATTTTTTTATTTAAAATCACTTTGCCTAAAACAACTTTCATATAAAATATCACCCGCCGGTTTATGACTAGCGAGGCTATTTGCCTCGCATATGGACATCAAGTATATGTAAATACCAATATGTCATCATTTTTATTCATCATCAGTCTTTAAAAGTCCACTGCTGGACATAGGCCTCTCCTTAGAAAGGAGGTTTTGGCCTACTATATATATACCACACCATACGTATATATACCATTATATACGTAATAAAAAGTAATAAAGGGTAAAAAAATATGAAATATACTTACATATTTAAACATTTTAACGCTGGTTTAATTTGTTGCGGGATGTAAGTGATGGCAGGACACAAGTTCCGATGTTTAATGATTAAGAAAAATCCAGCCCTCTTATATACTAGTTACGAAGTAGAGGGCCATGCATAATATATGGCAGTGTGACCGGATAATAGTCAGAATATCCTCCTAAATCATATTAGTATTTTTGTCACGCACAACCTTGCACAGTGTCACTGGACATTAATGCTTATTAGATCAAGGACAGCTTTAGGCATTCATAACATTAAAAAAGAGTAGCAGCCTAAATTATTTAAACAATTGCGTATCTGCTTCAATTAAATACGAGTATTATCCATAGAAATATGATAGTTCTGTAACTTAAATAAAATGTTTAGCCGTTTTTATGTTATGTTATGCCTAGAAGTGATATGGAGACGTTTCTTAGTATCAGATAGGATATATATATTATTTATACTTGTTATTGCATAGGATTGACCCATGGAATAACAAGTATAAAGAATACCTATGTTAACTGCACCATGAGGTTAAAGTTAAAGTCTAAACAGTCACATATCGCAATAACGTTAAGTTGAGGGTCAAATTAGTCTTTGCCTGGCACTGTACATACGAACTAAGTGTTTTCTTTATCAAACAAGTAGATGGATTACCAGATAATAAATGACCTCTGATAATTTGTTTATTAGCGCCTGCTATTAGCCCTAGTCCCTATCTACTCGTACTCCGAGAGTAGGTTCTCTCGGAGTAGATGGACTCACCATTCGATTGTATTGATAAATCCAAAAAAATACAATGTTAACTGTATTGAGACATTTCAGCTTAGTTCTATTTTTATCTTTGTTATATCAGAATCTTTATGAACTGACCTGGAAAAAAAAAGTCACCCTTATGGATGAAGGAATAAGGAATGAACATTACAATTTATTAGAATTCATCATGATATCGGTGCATTGAAGTAGGTAACACTTTTTAAAAGTTGGTTATGTGGACTATAGAGCTGGCTCTTGGTTGCATTTTTTTTTAAACAAGCTGACAACAGGGAGGGGAGAGTTTCAATTACCTAGTTATTTTCAGGCAGATCTTTATTCCTTAATTTTTTTTGCAGTTAGACTTAATATTAAGGTGTTGTTCTATGAAAATAATATAAAAAGATACAACTGAATAATTTTATTCAAGTGACATGTTTTTTATATAGTTACTACTCGGCCATCAGATATTTACATGTAGTAGCCTCTTGGTGCGACCTTGACATGTGGCGGTAATTTATTTTTGACAAGAACGAGGGGGCGACGGCCGTGTACATGCTTTGCTTCGCCAAAGCTTACCGCCATAAAGCAGGCCAAAAAGAAACAGAGCCACTGGAATCAAAAATGTATTTTATAACTAAATATTTTAATTATGAAGTTCATTCATTTTTTTAATACTTTATATTTGTATAAAGTTGCTGAACAAGTTTAGCATTAAAAAATTAAGTATTTTCTAGGCAGAATTTTATCTTACAACATAATTTACAATATAAATATAGCAGGTATTTGTACAAGTGCGGAAGTGGTTTATCAATTGCCTATAATCATAAGTTTTTTGGAGTTTACTCCTTAAGAATCTATTTTCATATAAGATCAGTATAAAAAAAATATGAAGAGTAAAATTTAGCTATCGAATGTCCTCGTTACGTTTTTTGTGTGCAACCTATCGTGCGCACCTTTCACTTTTTGTTAATATGTGTGTATCACTTGTATACTTGTGTACAGCCGAATCTTTCTTAAGGAGTAAACTCCAGTCGTGCGTCAAATCCGACACACATTTTTTTTTTCATCTAAGTAACGGATTAGTAATCAAATGAGTAGGTACTACTAAACTTGGTGTAGGATGCCAACTACATAACCATAGCAGTATAACATGGCAGCACAAAGAATCAGAATTGAAGAAAATTGTAAAGCTCTAAAAATCATTCTGATTTTTCTATTTTTTGTTTTGGGATGATATTAGTTAATTTTTCTTTAGACAATTTTATAAAAGTATTATACTTAGTGAAAATCAATTTTTAAACTTTAATTTAAGGAGTATTTAGTTGTCTAGTTAAAACAATTTATGCTACTTAGTGGGCAACTTAACACTTATAACATTTATTTCTCTCGAGTGTTTTTCTATGAAGTGATTGTTTTAGTAAGATTTTATAGAGGATACAAATATAGCATGAAATTATAAATACTCACTGCTGTTAGTAACATCGTCCTCACACGAGCTCAATTGATTAAATGAAATGAGGCTTATATACCTTCTTCCTAATCATAAAAAGGAAGGTAGGTTAACCTCTTAGTAGTATGACAAATTAATTATGCCTATTTCATCAACTACGCTTTCATTAATTTGATGATAACTTTGCAATTTAATTAACAAACACAAGCAATGTTTTGATTTTAAAAGCAGTATCGAGAGTACCGTTGTGCGATAAAGCACACTCGTATCTCTTAGAATTCTAGAACCATCTCCACAATTTAAAAAATCTATGATTTATAAAAACCTTATTTCATTTGATATAACAAATTATTAGTTTCATTTGGAATTTTTATAGAGACTTCACCCAATTGCAGAAGAGAAATTAAATCTGAATAGAAATGGGGAAATGGAATATGGACCTTCGTTAGTGAAGATCGAGATGCCCTTGCTGCTTTCAGTTGCAGACCATCTGGGTACTTCTTTGGAAGAACACTTTCACGTACTCCCTAGCTAACCTACCAGCCTTATTTTCATTTATCAAAATAAATTCGTTCAAGCTTTGATCATATTGAGGCATATATTATACCTCCGCCTCTTAGCGTCCAGATATAGGTCTTGCAAAGTTTCCATGCTGTAACCTCTGCCATCATACGCGAGATACAGTGGCTTAAAATGATGGTGTCTCTCAGCACCAAGCTGACACACTAATAACAGTACATTGCACTGGATTATGCCACTAGTGACGTGGAAGAACACTGTAAAATGTCCAAATTAAAAAAGTATGTATATTTCTGTAAGTAAAATAAAAAGACCAGAAATAAATAGGTAATTTTTATTTTAAATGAATGATGTTTTTGGTCATAGGTACAAAGAGGACGTACATACGGTAAACTAAATACCTGGTCAGGTTAACATGTGAGTATTGTTCCGGTAAATATTTAATATAATTACGTTTGCGTACGTTCACATGGGTGAGAATTGTAAATAACTCTTTGGTTCACTTATATTAGGGGTTAAAGTATAAATTTAAACTCCTTTTTTTCAAAGATATACCTAACTTATTTATTTAATCAAAATATTTACCCTCATTATCTATACATTGCTGTCACCTAAACGGAAGTTCATTTATATCTTTACAATTTAACTCTGGGGATCTAGCTTCAACAATGTGAAAGCATTTTGTTATTGTTTGTGTTTGTGTGTATTGTGTTTTTCATATTTTTTTATCTTATTGATTTGATGCTTTTGAGCCAATGTTGTAGGTAGGGTAAAGCTAAACCATGCCGCTAATTCCCGGGTAATTTGACTCGGATCGGCTTCCATCATATCTTTCAATTCAGCGTTCTTCCATTACGAAAGCGTCTAAACCAAAAATGCATGATGCGTCCATCAGCAGTCCTCTCCGAACGCAGCATTGATAATTATGCGAGCCGTTTCTGCCGCGTTAGTTCCGTGTCAGAACTCGTATTCAAAATTTACTCGGATTTTCGAAGTATCCATCTTTCACGTCTAAGCTGAATAAAAGCAATATAATGTCTAAAATCAACTATTGCACATTTTTTAAAAGAAGAACCTCATAGGTATTATGTGCAAAAAGATTCACACGAAAATCTCACACCATGAAGGTTTTATGTCAATTCAAAGTACCTATTACTATACAACGGCAATGTCATACTTTAACTCTATACTATTATATTAGCAAAGTAATATTGTTTCAAAACTTTTCAGCGTTATTAGGTTCAATCTCTCTTGTTCAATAAAATCATAGGTACCCTCGTACCTGTACCGTACGTACTTCGTACACGGTAAATGAAATACCCGGTCAGTAAGTGTACATCAATACCAGATTTTACAATAGTTACTTAAAACAGTTATTAAAAACAATGTAGTAAATGCTATTAATCAATGCTTTGCTATACTTCCAAGATATTCCTGGGAGCCGCTATGTAATATAAAGTAGTAAGAAAATTGTTAATCCAATCATCTATTTAAAGAGGCTTATCGCTTGTAAGGCCTCATCAAATTTCGATCATCCTATGTAGTCTGAAAACTGTAATTATTTTTACTACTGTTCAAACCATAATATATCGAATCTTTTAAACTATTTAAGTAGTCAAAAAATAAAACAAATACCAAACGTTACAATATCTAAACCGCCGTATATTATGGAAATTTATATTTACACGCATATAACGTCTGTCGGAGTATTCAAGATGAGATTACCTATTTGAAGAAAATAATGCACGAGGTACTCTCATAATACTTTATGAGTATACGTCACGTATTATATTCTTCTTGAAGGTAATTAAAACACAACAAATAAATGTTGCATTTTTTTTTGAAAGGGTTCTTCAAAAAAGGGGGAGTTAAAAAATAATCACAATCCTTATTGAATAGACTAAAATAAGGGTGACCCTTAATATAACAAATAACATTATAATAGCAATAGGGACCATCTAGTCTGTTTGAAGTAGGTACCAAACCAAATAGGTAGTTGATGCGCTAGGTACAAAATACTAAACGAGCCTTAAATGACTGATTGCCCAAAAACTAACTTAACTCTACCATTCTGTAATAAACATATAATATTCTCCATACATAGATGGTCACAGTCAGTTCTCCAAGCGCTAAATATAAGTTAATATTCGAGTTTTTAGTCTTCGAGTAATCTTGTAACAAACATTCAAAAAGCCAGCGTAAATGATTAAATGTAGCAAACATAACATTAAGCGTCAAATTTAAATTACGTAAAGTAGTTCCAGTAACATTCAAATACTTTAAACTTTTGAAGAGGTTGATTCTTAGTTGTGTCATAGAAAGAAAGTAAGAAGTAAGTAATAAAAATTTCTACGAGTATTCGTGTTGGTTTTTTGTTAAACTTAGTGTGTATTTTATTAAATATTTATTAACCTTTTTGATAGTAATTAAATAAGGCATAAATAATAATACACAAGACATGACGTATATTATCGAGTGCATTGAATGTCTGTTAGGAAAACGTCATCAGTATAAATAGGCAAAGAAAAAATATTTTACTACCAATCTCTCTCCTCCTTGTCAAGTGATTTGTCTTCTGTTTAGGAATTATAGTCTCCTCAAAAGCCTTTTAATAGTTCTCCTCTTAGCTTCAGGGACGACAACAGTGTGTTCATATTGATGACTTATCATCGAGTTGGTGTGATCTTCTCACTGGCACCCCGTAAGGCGGTATATTATCTCCCTTATTATTCTCAATATTCATCAATTCAGTACAACGTACGTACGTGTACGTATCACCTCTACGCTGACGACTTAGAAGTACACGCACAGTCAAGGGAGATAATATTCGCCAACGACAAAGTCAGCAAAGACTTGGTGCTTATAAAGAGCTGTAGGTAGGCAAACAAACAGTCTGTCACCTGAAGGCAACTGACTTCCATCACCCACGGTCACCAGCAGTTCAAGAGATAAGTATGTTGCCGCCCTTTGAGATGAACCCCCACCCCCCCTCCCATTAACCGGTCGGTATCGGCCGGTCCATGTGTGCTGAAGAATTTCTCTTCCACAGTCACATGAATGTTTGTTTATAACTAAAAACTTACCCATAAACACGACCGAAGTTTGTGGTTTTTTCACATCGTATGCTAAACTTTATGAGACTTACATGAAATTCCTATGACTCATGCTCGTTATTTACTTTAAAATATTTTTTTTCTGTGAAAATCAAACAACGAGTAAGCGTTTAGCATTATAATTAATCCATGGGTTCGGGGTAAGAATATTAAAGAAGATGTTATGGCTGCACGATATGCTTAAGAAGTAATTGCTGAAATAGTAGTGAGAGTGAAATTAATGACAATAGTGTGAGGCAGGAACCTGGACATCTTAGAAACTAGTGCTTCTTTTAGCGAATGTAATAATAATATAGCTATAGATATATTTTTTTATTAAAACAATAAATCAAACCTAATCAATCATTATTGGATATATAAGGATCATATAAGGATGATGAAAAAACAAAACAACTGAAATACTAAGCCTAAAGTTCGATATAGTTGCTTTACAAAAGTAGCAGAATAGTTATCTCCAATATCTGAGGTGCTCCAAATACTAGGACATAGTTTTATATATTTTCAATAAAGGTTTTGTACTTTCATAAGATCTAGATGCACATGTTTTGTGTTTAAAACATATTGTATGAAACTGCGAAGCCCTGGCGCGTGACGCGATATGCATTTGGCCTTTTTTTATATCATTAAAGTTATAAATAAAATATATAGATCTTTCTTACCTGATTAATGGGAATTCGCAACTGGTAAAAGCCAAACCCTTCCGTCATCATCTATAATCTAGCAATATATTTGCTGCAGTATACATCTGGCGAAATCAATAACTATTTCGTTTGTCACCCTGTAAGATAACAATTGGCAAATTTGTGTTTTATTAGGATAGATATAGTAATATTTTATATTTTTATCAATAACAATAATGATATTTATTAAAGTATTTAAAGATCTGAAATTGTTTTTTACACTTGTTATATTCTTTTACTTCAAAAATATTTTGTTAAATATTATATCATAGACTCTCTTCTCAAATGCTAATTAAGTTGTTGTAAGTTAACGTCAAATGAAGTCTGTCATTTAAGCTGCATTTGTAAAGAACATTCAACACAATCACATCTCATTAAATAAACATTATTCTTTTTAGTCAGAATCCGTGAATTATATTTTGTCCTCCGAACCTGTCTATAAAGGTTTCCTCAGACACAAGCCGCCACCATTTGGTTAAGCAGGAGCTTCGTGTTAACTACAAATAAAGATGAATAAATTGGTAAGCTGTTAATTGCAACAAATTAGTTTATTATATTGTAAATAACAATGTTTGAAAAGGATTACTACCTAATTGATTGGCCTGTTAGGCTAGTGGGTAATGACTCTGATTGCTAAATCAGAGGTCGTGGGTTCGATTCCTCCCAAAACAACTTATTGTGGGATAAGTACGTACTAAAATACACCGTATGTACGTAAGATGTATTAATTATAAATGTGTACCTGTAGAGTATTATATGGTAATCTACTAATCGGTTTAGTACTATAAAGTACAATAACTATTTATTCTGAGTGTTTTGTACTGTTAACTATTTGTAATATTTTGTACAAAACGTATTTCTGTTGTTATTATTACTGTGATTTCAGTGCGAAAACGTTTAACAAAAATACTAATTTATACTTGAATTAAGTAAATGTTTAAGTAAAACCAAATAATTTACAACTTAAAAAAACGTTGGAAAACGCTATTCTTTAATTCTGCATTTATTAACCATGTTTACGATTTGTGTTTCAACACAAACTATGTAGCCCCTCTGTATCCACGTATTTATGGTAATTCGATTAAAATACGATTAGCTTGTTTCATTTCAACTAACTAATTAGATACGCCTGTATTGTTATAGGATTTGCCATAAATTTATTTACTAACAGGAATTATGTGCTGGGACTTAATACACAGTGTTATCTGTACTCAATTTAAATCTTGTATTTATTCACATCAAAAAAAAATCATTTATTTGCCAGAATGTACGTATAATCTTAAAACTGTAATGGCCCCATCACATTATACCATTAGATATGGTGTGCAAATATTTAATTTTAACCTGCATAATGTTATAATTTTAATAACATTAGACAGCAACATTAGACACAGAAAATATAGACAGCCAACAACAAATAAGTTCTCATGCATTAGGATTTATAGGAACAAATTAATTAATCGATGTCAAGTTTATACAGATGTCAGTTCAAGAGATAAAATGTCAACTTAACAAATAATTGTAATTGATAATGTCATAAAGTGTTGGTATAGTAGAATTTAAACAATAATAATAAATAAATAATAATATAAGAAATATATATTTCAACTTACCCACATATTAACAAAATATGTTTAATGGATGTGTAGTGAGAAACTAATATGCTATCGAAATAAAAAAAAGGTAAAGTTACATTGTCTATTTTATTTCATTGAAAAGTTGGTCCTAAACGTGCATTGCACACATAACAGATAACAGTTAAGAATGAAAAGTTATTATATACAAGTAACTTCTATATTACTGTGTTGTTGATAACCTCTTACTATTTACAAGAATTTAAATTAAAATGAATTTGAAAATAATATATAATTCTGTACAAATTATGGTGTTCTACATTTTCGGATTATCCTACTGTTCTATAGGACACTAGGATAATCCGAGACTCAGACCGTTAGCGGCACATGAAGTTTTTAGTGCATTTGAAAATATTCCTGACGATGAAGATGACGACAGGGAAAGGGTGATATGCATTCTACCACCTCATGTTAAATACGACAAAAAAAATATTCTGGAGAAGTGGATAATATGAAAGGACAGTCTAGTAGAGGATAGTCAACAATTTACCACTAAACATACTTAATCAACCGGCAGAACAATCAATACAAGCTCAGTAAGCTATGAGTAGTACCGAAGAAGAACCTAAATAGACGTAAAGCAAAACGAGTTTATCAATGGTGAAAAAGGCACTTGAATATAGCTCCACTGGTTTGCTTCAGATCAAAGGACCTTGCCAAGAAAGACATCCCATCGAGTGGTTCGAAAATTTGCGGACGTAATTTCTATATTAATGTCGGTGTAATAAATATTTTAAAAAAACCTAACCAGGAGATATTACCGCTTAGGATGTCAAGTGCTTATTGTTATTTTATAAGCCTGTGGTTATTTATGGCTAACACTTTGAGGAATGTATTGAGATAACTCTCCTGATACGAATAACGAGTAAGTAAGCTCTGACCTGCTATGACAAGGGATATGCTTGATTTTATTTTTCGCTACATTCATGTCAACGATAATCTTGACAAGCATACAAAAAAAAACGCCTTCTCGTAACGTAGTTAAATAACTTTTTTCCTACTATCGATGAACATTACAGGATATAAAGGGAAAACCTTTCATATACAGGTTCAACACCTGGGTTGGAGCGACTTGGTTGGGTATGTGTTGTGGATTGAGCCATATCAAGGTGTCCCAACCATGAGTGATTTTCGAGTAGGTGTAAAGTGTTTTTAAGTTATACCAAACATAAAGAACATTCTTTTGCATTATGGAATCTACTAAAATTAAGAATTATTAAATTTTTGCATTCTATATTTTGAATTTTATACGAATAACTGTTTATTTTTTAAACCACCATTTAAACTATTATCCTACTGTCCTTGTTTTGGTTGTCCTAGTTAGTTTTCCTGAAAGCCTTACAGGTGATATATTTTCAGGTTTTTTTTTTCATTATATGACCTAATTAATCAAACAATATATATGTTATAATTGATTTCAGAAAATAATAGTTTTAGGCTTATATGGGTTTAATTATTACAAGATTGTATACCAATATATTCCAATTTAATAGACCTATGTTTCTTCTACGCGATCTGATATGTATTCATTTATATTGTAATAGCGTTTTGTTTCACCATTGTGTTACCTTCTTGTTAAACATGGGTAGAGGTAAATCTTTAAAATCGTCCGGTAATTTGTTACATACCTTTACGGCATAATTATCTAATATACATACACGGTAATGACTTTTTAAACAATTGCTTACAACTATCCGTGTATCCATTTTTTGTACTCTAAACGCTTTTTGTAATATCCACCGAATTACCCCAAAATCAGGGACCATAAGCAAGTACGGGCGAAGCGTATCCGTGAAATGCAGAAAGATCAGCTTCTGTTGACACCGTGACCGTTACAGTTTTAATTGCGTAGACAAATCTGTCGAGTTTATCACAAATGTGATCGACGTGTGTTTTCCAGTCGCAATTCTGAGCCAATATTATACCCAGAAATTTTGTACTTGCAACTTGTTCGATAATATTATCATTATATTTAGCTTTTAACGTCAACGGATTTCTTTTATGGGATTGGAATTGGATCATTTTAGTTTTCTCCATATTATTTTGTAAGTTGTTAGTATGTTACGAATGTTTACAAAAACTTTTAGAGTTTGACGACATTTTCTTTTATTCGACGAGTAAAGTTTTCTAGTCTTTCTTTTGTACCTTAATCTGATATTACTAATTTTAAAATCAACAATAAAATCGATTACAACGTAAATTTTTTATATACCATAATAATTAAAAAACGAACAGCATAGGCCAATAATTTGATCTCTTGATATAAGTTAAAGTAACATTTGCTTCGTATGGTTTTCCTCTAACTCACATAATTTATATTTGAATATTTCAGATCATCATCGCTTGCCTGCTGTCGTCGGCGATAGCTGCGCCTAGGCCAGATGTAATTTATAGTTCATATGCACCTCTGGCGCGATTCTCCTCGCCAGTAACCTACGCCTACTCATCCCCCATCGTCTATCCCAGTTACTTGGCTCCATTGTCCAGTTACTCGAGCAGCTATAGTTTCACATCTTTGCCATATTCTTTTCTAGTGAATTAAATACAAAGATAGCAAATAGTCAATGGCAATATTACACCTTGTATCGCTTAAATAAACATTTACACACATTTTATTTTTATTTTATTTTATACTTTCTGCAAGTACATTGCATAAGGCGGACCTAATGCCATAGGCATTTCCTTCCAGACAACTTTTAGATGATGCAGAGCTGTGTGTGGCAGGTGTATGATTAGAGCAGATGAGATAAAGTATTTTAAATTGTTATCAGTTGTGAGATATTATATTAAATAGATACGCTAGGTACACATACTCGTACATTTGATGAAGAATAAAAAGCATATTTATATTTGCATAAAGATGCATAAAGAAAGTGTTATTTTGTTCTTACGTATTTTAAAAAAGTTCCTACATATTTTATTATGAGATGTAAATTTTAAAAAGTTGTAACCAGTTTTAAAATTATTTTTTCATTTCTCTCTTCATCCCGTGTTGGGTTGATCAAGTTTAAAAAGAAATATCATTGCACAAATTACACTTCCATTATCGCTAATACTCATAAAAATATCATAAATATAAAAGGACATCGGCAGGTCCTTATATATAATTTTATTTTAAGTATAGTGAAGTGAAATGGTAGCGTTTAAATATCAAAAAACCTCAGCAAACAAACTACCTAAAACACTTGACAGTTTATCCTTGATCATTCTCAAAACTACGATACTCTGTCTGTCTACTTACTTATAATGTTGTCTATAAATGGAGACTTGTCATTGGCTGACACAATGTTATAATATGGTTTATCAAAAGGTATTTAAGCTGTAAAGTCTTTCAAGTTTGTTAGAAAAATAATGAAAATTACTAGTGAAAGAAGTCTAGGAAAAAAGATATTGCATATTTCAAGGTTAAGTACTAACATATTGTCCATGACATTTGTTTGATATGTTGATGTTGAAAGAGTTAGCCTCTATTAAAGGGTGGACGTTATTTGCTTGGCATGTATTTGTAAAACAATACAAAACATCTCTGCTTACCGATTACGTGTGCGTGCTGACAGATTTAAAATGCAAGTCAACTAAGGAATCAAAACTTATGCAGACACAATCACAGCGAGAGAAGGAAAACTCGAAACTGCACCCTAAACACCAACAACTTGTCAGGCAAGCGTAGAACTAATAGGCTAAATTCTTCTTTGTTTTTGTGAAAAGTCACCAATGGTGGACTGCAAACAAAAATTGTATCGAGGAATTCAGCAGGTGCAGATATGTTATCTTCATGTCTGGCTCATCCTAAATACCACAAAATTGTCATGGTATGAGCGCAGCAGCCTGCAGTTCGGCACCCAACCGAGCAATTGCTGTAATATTCTATAATACCTGATCGACCACGAATATGTTTTTTTACTAAAATATAGACATCATATTGTCTTCTGTTTGTTTCTTGTTTTAGATGGTATGTAGGTATAAGTAGATAAATGCCGAAATATACACTAGATTTCAGTGTACAATCTAAATTTTAAAATGATAGTTTGAGTTTCGGTTACGGTTTCGGCTGAAACTAAAATAAGGGCCGAAAGACACTACTCAAATACCTATATTACTGCAAAACCTACAGCTTACCTCGTAACATGAGATTTAAAATTCTTGTTATATTGCGAATAACTCTCTTCGAGTTGAAATATTTTATATTTGGTGGTTTAGCGGTAGTTACTACATATGGGCCCATATTCATCCAAGCGTAACTAATCTTTTCTAAAAAAACGTCATTTTAGCGAGACGGCAAATGCCGCTCAAGTCCTCCTTTATTAATAATATTATATTGTTGTTCTTATATTATAATCATACATCACATTCCCACATTTTCGTGCTTAGTAAACATAGTTTGAAATGTATAGCACATTCAACATACGATATATAGGTAGGTATACCTGTATGTATTGCAAATTTTAAAAAATGTAGACCCATTACAAGTAAATAAAGCTGAGGGAACCCTCCATATGTTGACCTTAAGCGTTACAATATCTGTGCAAGTTAGAATCTCTGTGATATGAAACAAAACATTTAACATAGGTTCATTGCACATCTTAACTACACTGAAGTAATGTAGGTATAGAGTTCCACCAGAAATATACCAATATCGATTTATGAATTTAAATTGAATTTTTACAAATTAATACAATATGTAACATTACAGACGGTGAGTAACATACAAAGTTGTAAATACATAGTTCCTTTATTATTTACATTTTTTAACTGAGTGAACATTACAGAAAACAAAATTAAATACGTGGAACATACTGAAAGTCTCTGGATCTGGTCACTAACAATAAAACAATGAAAAAACAATTATAGAATTCGTATGAATATGATATATCACTTCCGTCATGTTCATTTCTTAAAGATGCATTGGATAACAGAAGTTCACACAAATATATAGAAATGGTCTCAATAGTTGATGTAACAAAGATTACATAAAGCACGTGAAGTTACACTGAAAATGATTGCATGTACATGACATAGAAAAATGTAACAAGAAATGTTCACACTTAAAATTTTGTCATTAAAGAGTTAGAAAATGTCAATTTTTTAACAACAGACTTTTTAATTATATTTTTTTACTGTAAACAATAGAAGAATAAAGAAGAAATATCGGTAACAAATTTTTAATTATAATAATAAAAACAATGTCAATAGATAATAATTTGGTAGCACATAACTATAAACATTAAACTATCGTAAAAAACTACAATACAGTTTACAATTTTATATCACTCTTAAACTATCATGACTTTTACCAAAAGATATGATAAAATATATTATGCTTTCATCTACATCATATCGCTATCAGGCGCACGTCGCGAATTTCACAGCCTATCGCCGGCATCCCGCACCCTGTGAGTGCCTGAATACGCAGCAAGGACGTTACGTATTTACAAGTTTTTAATACGATAAGCAATGATAACATTGAAAAGTTAATACGAGTAGTTGAAGTGAGAGACAGACCCGCACTATATAATGTGTATTTGCCACTACTTGCAGTGTCGCTATTATGGAGACATGCATACATCTTATGACACTACTTTTTTCGATCTCGTCTGTTATCAGACTGAACTCTTTTAACAAAGCTAATTGCACAACGCCTCGCGCGGAATCGTAACGATTCCGCTGCGCGACACGATATCGCTCGTTCGTGGAGACGGCCCCTTAGGGTGATGTAGAAATGAATGAAAGTAGGTGCATTATATTATATTATTACTATACTCGTATACACACATATGTATATAGGGTATCTATAAAAATGGAACACTATTTAGCTTTAAACACTTATAGTGCTTGTCTTTGGTTATCAATTTTAACGATCATTAAAAAACTATTCGCTAATTACTACTAACTTTTAAGAGTTATGACTGTTTCAATTTTAAGATATTTTTGGTCTTATTTCTCATGAAACCTAATAAAATGTATAAAGTTAAACATTTGAAATCGAAATAAGTTTTTAATTTTCTAATTATTCAATCTATTAATGAGAAAATCCATGAAAACTTATTTTGAAAACATTGAATATTTATTTAAGTTCGTTTTTATGTCTTTTTTCAATAGAGGATTGAATTTCCAAAATAGACGCATATGTCCGATTTAGAGTCTTTAACGTAACACGTTTTATCAGCTTCTATATTTGAAAATTTAAGGCGTCATAAATAAAAATTAATATATTTATTTATGTTATGTTAGAGTTACGTCTCTTTCAGTGATTTTAATGAGTTGTCCATTTATTTGTACACCTGATACGTATGTATGTATATTTATATACACACTAAATTTTTAAAAGACGAATACATTAAAATATAATAATATATGTATATTAATAAAAAGATTTATTGTTTTACTTTACAACTGCTTTACTGACCTGCTATTAATATGAATAACATTTAAAAATTATAATAAGTTATCATAACATATTAACGTATAACTACCACATAAAATATTAGAAATACATTAATCTTAGCATAATTATGTTTTCATAACCATTATAAGGTATGCCTTATAATAGTTTTTAAATATATAAGTGAGTGTACACATAATTCATTAAATACATTCTACCTATTCGTTGTATATTTACTGTAGGTGCCCTTTAGTTCTTAAAGTAGAAAGACGTCTTTTACGTACGGATCACTTTATTATACACTTTATAAAGTATCAGTAAATGGATAATGCTTTCTGTTAAGCTTTGTATTTTGAAGGCACCCTGTAAGATACGATTTCATAAAATTAAGTCATTTTGTTTTTATTGCTACCCTTAATTATTCCTTATTTACCAGCGGCAAATAATCTGTCTATCCTAGGTTATAAAGTGAACTGATGAAACCTTTGATCATAAATTGTACCATCCTCAACACCAAATTTAATTGGTCTTAGTTTATGATGTAGCTTAACATCATACGTGCCATTCTTATCACCATAAAGACTTTCAGTCTTGTCACCATAAAGACTGCCAATCTTATCACGATAAAGACTTCCAGTAGGTACAACACCAACAATACCTGCCCTTAAACTACTTCCAGCATTCAAACCACCAGCATTCAGACCTTGAGTAGAATCACCATAAGTGTTCATGCTGCCTCCAACACTCAAACTACTTCCAGTACTTAACTCACCTGCAGCATTGAAGCTGCCTCCTATGTTTAAGCCGCTTCCAGTATTTAAGCTTCCTCCAGCATTCAATTGGTTATTAGCACTTAAACTACCGTCAGCATTCATACTGCCTCCAGGATTGAAATAGGCTTGAGAACTTAAATCATCATAAAAACTCACGCTGCCTCCATCAGTCAAACTACCTCCAGCAGTTAACCCACCCAAAGCATTCATTCCACCTGCACCATTCAAACTACCCCCAGCATTTAAAAGGTCTAAAGCACTCATGCTAACTAAACCACTGAAGTCATGTGTGCCAATTAAACCACCATAAGCATTGATACTGCCCCCAGTATTCAAATGTGATTGAGTTTTTGAATCTCTATAAGCATTCAAGTTGCCCCCACTACTCAAACTTCCTCCTCCTCCTCCTCTTGAGTACTTTAAAAGGTCTAAAACACTCAAGCCTCCTAAAGCACTAAAATCATCTGCTGCGATCAAACCTCCTGCAGTATTCCAACCACCAGTATTCAATTGGCCTTGACCATTTAAACCACTGTCGGCATTCATACTGCCTCCTGCATTCAAATGGCTTTGAGCACTTAAACTACCATCAGCATTCATGTTACCTCCAACAGTTAACCTACCTCCAGTATTTATACCACCTCCTATGTTAAAACTGCTTTTCGTATTTAATCTTCCTCCAGCATTCAATGGGCTTTGAGCACCACGGATAGCGTGCATACTGCCTCCAGCACTCAAACTACCTCCAGTACTTAACCCACCTCCAGCATTCAAACCATTGCCTACATTTAGGCTACCTCCATTATTTAACATTCCTTTAGTACTTATTTTATCTTGATTACTTAAACCACTGTTGGCGTGCACACCGCCTCCAACACTCAAACTGCTTCTAGAACTAAAGCCATTTCTTGTGCTAGATCGAGTTTCCAATAATTCTACAGACGGTTCATTAATTTTCATTCCATTATCGCTTCTTTCTGCACCAGGAAGATTATCAGTACTTAAACCACCTCCAATCTTAATACTACCACCAATATTAAAACCACCACCTACACTTATGCCACTACCACCATCAGCTTTTATACTGTCTACAGCATTTAATTTCCCTTTAGCGCTTATATCGCTGTCAGTTTTTATACTGCCTCCAGCATTTAAGTGGCCTTGAGTGCTTATACCGTTGTCAGTTTTTATACTGCCTCCAGCATTTAAGTGGCCTTGAATGCTTATACCACCGTTAGTTTTTATACTGCTTTCAGCACTCAAATTGCCTTGAGTATTTAAACCACCGTCGGTAATTATACCGGCCCCAGTACTCAAATTACCTCCAACACTCAAACTGCCTTTACCGTCCAAACTGTCTTCAATATTATTGCCACCTAAATTACTATAATCGGCTCCAGCATTTCCACTACTACCAGTATTGTAATCAACATCTTCACTCGTATTGCCTTCAATACTCATGCCTCCTCCACTTACCACATCTAAGCCGCCCCCAGTATTTAAGCTTAAATCACTGTCAGTATTTATACTACCTTCAGCACTCAACTGACCATGAGCACTTAAACTACCATTACCACCTTCAGCAGTCATGAAACCCCCACCTGTTACATTGAAGCCACCTCCAATATTTGGGCTACCTTCAGCACTTAAATCACTGTTAGCTTTTATAACCTCAGTACCTAAATGGCCTTGAGCACTTAAACCACTGTTAATGCTCATACTATTTTCAGGACTAAATTCATCTCCTATATTTAAGAGGCCTTCAGTATTAAAACTACCCCAAGCATTAATTAAAGATTTTAGTTCTTCTAAAGTTATCAAGCTACCTAATGCGTTCAGACTACTCAAACCATTGGAACCACCTACAGCATTTAATTCACCTCCAGTATTTAGGCCAAATAAAGCATTCAAATCACCTCCAACGTTTGAACCACCTAGATCACTCAAACTACCTTCGTTATTCAAACTTCCTCCAGCATTTAAGTCACCTAAAACCTTCAAACCTCCTAATGAATATAGACCGTTTAAATCAGAAAAACCAATTCCTGCATTTAAATCATGTCCAGAATTCAAAGTACCTTCAGCATTCCAACTACCTTCAGAAGTGAAACTTCCTGTACCACTCAAACTGCCTTTAGGACCCAAACTTCCGACAGCACTGAAACCAGCATTTGGATGCCATAAATTTGAGATCAAGCCTGCACTCAAGCCCCCTCCGGTATTTAAACCGCTCGTAGTACTCAAACTATCTAAGGGATTAAAAGCACCTATAGGATTATTTCCACTTCCAGCATTGAAATCATCTAAAGCATTCAAGCCATCTTCAACGCTTAAACCACCTTCCAGGTTCAAATCACTCAAAGCACTCAAAGTGCTTTTACCATTCAAATCTTCTGCAGTAGTGAAATTACCTAAAGCATTAAAACCACTGCCAAAGCTTAAACCATCTCCAAAGTTTAAACCACCTAAAGTATCCAAACTACTTCCACTATTCACGCCTCCTTCAGCGTCCAAATCACCAAAAGCATTAAAATCATTTCCAAGATTTAAATCACCTCCAAGATTTAAACCAACTAGAGCATTCAAATTACTTCCGCCATTCCAGCCTCCTCCAGTGTTTAAATCACCAAAAGCATTAAAACCACCTCCGAGGCTTAAACCACCTCCAAGGTTTAAACCATCTAAAGGATCAGCACCTTTTATATCATTCAAATCTCCTCCAGCGTTCAAATCACCAAAAACATTTAAATCACCCCCAAGAATAAAACCATCTGCAACGTTTGAACCATCTAAAGCATTCAAACTACTTCCACCTCCACAAGCGTTCAATTCACTTAACGTATTAAAACCACCTAAAGGATCTAAACTATTTCCACCATTCAAATCCCCTCCAACGTTCAAATTATTACAAGTAATAACATCATCTCCATGGTTTAAAAAACCTAAAGTGTCCAAACTACTTCCACCATTCAAATCCCCTCCAGCGTTCAAATCACTAAAAGCATTAGAATCACCTCCAAGGTTTAAACCACCTAAAGGATCCAAACTACTTGCATCATTCAAATCCCCTCCAGCGTTCAAATCACTAAAAGCATTAGAATTACCTCCAAGGTTTAAACTACCTAAAGGGTCCAAACTACTTTCACCATTGAAGTCCCCTCCAATGTTCAAATCACTAAAATCATTAGAGTCAACTTCAAGGTTTGAACCACCTAAAGGATCCAAACTACTTCCATCAGTCAAATCCCCACCAGCGTTCAAATCACTAAAAGCATTAGAATCACCTCCAAGATTGAAATTACCTATAAGATTTAAACCACCTAAAGCATTCAAATTATTTCCACTATTCAAGCGTCCTTCAGCGTTCAAATCACCTAAAGCATTAAAACCATCCACAAGATTTAAACTACCTCCAATGTTCAAATCACCTAAAGCACTTAAACTACCTTCCCCGTACAAATCTCCTCCAAGGTTTAAACTACCTAAATCATTCAAACCACCTCCAATATTTATACCATCTAAAGGACTCAAACTTCCTCCCCCATTCAAACCCTCTTCAGTATTCAAACTACCTAAAGCATTCAATCCGACTAATTTAAATAGACCGTCTAAACTAGTTATACCACGTTCTACATATAAATCACTTCCAGAATTTATAGTGCCTCCAGGGACCAAACTATCTGAAGCAGTCGAGATGCCTGGAGCACTGAAACTACCCAAACCCCAGCCTGTACTCAAGCTCTCAGAGTCTAAGCCCTCCAGGACACTCATACTACCTAAAGGATAAAAAGTAACTTCCCGTTTCTTTTCACTTCCTGCATTTAAACTACCTGAAGCACTCAAGCGACTTGAGTCACCCAAATAACTTAAAGCACTCACATAATCTAAAGCACTCAAATCACCTCTATCATTTGAACCATTTATAGCACTCAAACTATCTTCACCATTCAACCTTCCTTTGGCATTCAAATTATCTAAAGTATTCAAAACGCCTAATGAAAATAGACCTTGTAAACCAGCCAAACCACCTCCTGCATTTAAACCATGTCCAGAACTCAAAGTACCTTCAGCATTCCAACTATCTTCAGAACTGAAACTTCCTGTATCACTTAAACCTCCACCAACACTAAATCCGCCATTCTCAAGTAAATTTAACATCCAAGCAGCACTCGAGCTCTCTTCGGTATTTAAACCACTCGGACTACTGAAGCTACCTCCTACATTTAAGCCACCTGATGCACTCAAACGGTTTAAGGTTTCTAAAGCACTTAAAGTCTCTGAAGCAGTCAAATTACCTCCAAAATTTAAACCACTTGATGCACCCTCTCCAGTATTTGAACCCAATGCGGTACTCAAAAGGATTAAAGTTTTTAAGGCACTTAAAACTTCTAAAGTGCTCAAACCATCTCCAGCATTGAGACCACCCAAAGCACTGAATCCACTTCCAACATTCAAACCACTTTCAGCACTCAAACTACTCTCAGCGTGTAAATCATTTAAAGCATTAATATCCTCTAAGGAACTGAAACTTCCTAAAGTATTCAAGCCGCCTAAAGCAATAAAGCGATCTAAAGCTTTTAAACCACCTAATGTATTTAAATTGTATCCTACATTCGCAGTGTCTAAAGTACTCAAAACACCCTTGGAATTCAAACTGTTACCTACATGTAAGTCACTATGAGCACTCACACCGTCTCCAGCACTCAAACCACCTCCAACATCCAAACTATCTTCACCGTTTAAACCACTGAAAGCGATCAACTGGCCTCCAGCATTCACACCACCTAAATAATGTAAATTAACTTTATTGCCCAAAAAATTCCCAGTGATAGGAGATACTTTATTTCCATCACTTGAAACTCCATTATTATATAAACCGTCTTCGGCACTTAAACTACCCTCAGTACTCAAATCACCTCTAAAATTTAAACCACCTCCAACGCTTAAGCTACCTCCAGTATTCATACCAGTTGCAGTAGTGTAACTGCCTTCAGCACTTACATCATCACTTCCAACATTTAAATCAACATCAGTCCAATGGCTCAGACAGCTAATATCACTTATATCGCCTCCACTGTTTATATCTTCTCCTGCCATGAAACCTCCTTCAGAAATCGAACTATCTGCATCATTTAGAGCTTCTTCCGTATTTAATTCATATTCAGGCCCTACGTGCTTTTTCGTGTAATTAGGTCCTGTTTTCATATCTTTAATTCCTTTTAAAGCTTCTAGGATCCCTCCCATCCGATTTAACTTCTTAAATTTTAATGTATTAGCAGGGAGGGTTTTCTTTTTATTCATTTTACATTTTCTTCGATGAGTTTTGACGTCTGTATGAGAGTAATTTGGTAAATCAAATTTTGGCTTGGGGTTAAGAGCTTTTTCAGTCGATAAACTTCTTCTTCTATGTTGATAGCCATCGAAAATTCGATCACTAGGTGCACTTATGTGATTTACAATCCGTTTATAAAACTGAACAGGAGTATTCGACTTAGGTGCAGCATCCGTTACTTTTGTACTTTCGGATGCTTGATATCCTATAGCACCATGCACGATGTACAAAATTGTAACAAGTAGTAACTGCAAATGATAACACATTATATGAAATAAATTTAATTTTTTTAACCAAACAGTTGTGTTGTAAAACAAAGAGATACTTAAGTTTCTAGACTTACAATATTTACTAAACTCAAAAAGTAATATAATAAAATATCGCCGTATTGTACACCAGAAATAAATATACCACTTACCACTTGTACTAAGCTAGTTTAAGGTAATTACCTTAGACTAGCTTAGTACAAGTGGCGGCCTTATCCCTCAGAGGCAATCTCTTATAGGCAACCGTGGTATGAAGATAAAACATGAAACTGAGGAGGTAATGGATAGTGGCTGGTGTATTAGGAAATAGAGAAGAAGCTGAAATTAAAGTTGTAAATATTTTTATTTTTTATTTTTATTAAGCCTTTATTGCCAACATAGTTACACGTATTCGTTATCAAATAGTTAAGTTTTAAATGCAATTAAATATATTATCATTATAATTATACCAATACAATATTATTATTGTTATTATTATGCCGCAGTTATTGGGCGTCGGCGTGTCCTTGTGACACAAAGGCCTCCTTCAGCTCTTTCCATTCTGCTCTTGTTTGAGTTATTCTGTGCCACAGTGGACCCGCGTTCTTTTTTATGTCATCAGACCAACGTTTTCTTTGTCTGCCTCTTTTCCTTTTTGTCTGGAATCTAGGGGTCCATTCTGTTATATGTTTCGTCCATTTATTCTTATTCTCTCTCATCATGTAGCCTACCCATCTCCACTTAAGTGTTTTAATTTTGATTACGACATCTTCGATTTTCGTAATTTGCCTTAAATCTACAGCTCTCTTTCTGTCTCTTTTTGTGTAACCCAGCATACCCCTCTCCATGGCTCTTTGACATGTGGTCAGTTTTTGTTTTTGTTTTTGTGTGTTATCCCAGATCTGGCATCCATAATTGAGAATTGGTAATATGCATATGTTGTACACTCTCCTTTTCATAGCAATAGTATATTGTTTACCCTTTGGCACTTCTTTGAGAGACCAAACCTTTTCCATGCATTGGCTACCCTCCTTTCTATTTCTAAATCCATATGATTGTTGAAGGCAATAAGTTGGCCTAGATATATGTAGGAATTTACATATTCTATTTCTTCCTGATCTACTGAGATGCTTATTTGGGATCTATTTGTTAATATTTTAGTCTTTGTTTTGTTTATTGTTAGGCATACCTTTCTGCTCTCACTTGACAAATCTTGGAGCACGTTTTTAAGGCCTGCCGGGTTACCTATCTGTTATAAGTATAATGTCATCCGCGAATCTTAAATGATTCAAACGTGTTCCATTTATGTTAATCCCTATGTTGTCCCATTTCATCTTCTTCATGACTTCCTCTAGCACGGAAGAACAAAGTTTTGGCGAGTGTGGGTCTCCCTGCCTCACTCCCCTGTGTATTGGGAAAGTTTCCCCCTCTGTTTCCAATTTTATTCATGCTTTGCTGTTGGAATATACATTTTTTATTACCCTTATATACTTCTTTTCTATTCCTTGATTTTTCAGGGCTTTCCAAATGTACTGAAGTTCCAGGCAATCGAAAGCTTTCTTATAGTCCACAAATGCCATGTACAGTGGACAATCATATTCTTGTTGGTTAGTCTTGATGTGGTCTCTGGCAATGTTGCTTTCATCATCTCGTTAGTTATATAATCAGGTCCGGGGGCTTTATCATTTTTCTGGGTTTCAATCGCATGCTGGACTTCCCTTTCAAGAATCGGAGCGACATCTTCCGTTTCATCTTCAAAGTTTATGTTGCAATTTAAGGTGTTTCCGGTAGAGTAGAGCTTCCGGTAATAGTCTGTTGCTATCTTTAAAATTGGATGTCTCCTTGTTTCTTCCTTGTTGTTTTTGCTTGTTGTTATATATACATAACTATAAAAAGTGAAAATTTCACATAGTATCTATTGGTTACTGGACTTAGGACTTGGTCTTAAGTGAATATGTAACATACTAGAGAGAATATACTACGTGCTTAACAAGGCTGGTGGTGTTATTAGATACATATAATTAAATAAATACGTGTGATTTATAAGTTCTAAATACATATATTATAAGAAATAATGTGACCTTGTCGACTTAGTAGAAGTTAATTGACATTGACGTCTCCCAGGTAGTTTTCTTTCCCTTGTTTGTGCATTCCGGCGAAGACGAATGGGTAACCACTTGAGCTTCTTGCGATATTCAGAAACATGATCATATTTGCATATTTGCAACAGATCTGATATCCTTCGTAATATGGATTTGGGTAGTAGTGGTACTGTGACCAGGTCGAAAACCTGACTGGAGAGGATTTAGGAGCAGGTTTCTGAATAGAAAATTCGTAAGTTGAGAATGAATAAGACGTGTAAGGACCTTGAAGAGAAAGGGGAGGAAGCGGGTTTTTCTTTTTGGGGATGGGTATAATTTCAGCATCCTTCCAAGCCGTTGAAAATACGCTGCACTCGCCCACTGCATTCGAAGTAATTGACACTATGCTCTTCCTAACATCACACTCTGCAAGTTAACCAAAGAAGAAGGGAGAACAGTCTGGAGTCGGGGCAGAAGTAAAATGTTTCAGTGTAGCATCTTTTGTCATTATATCAAAATTTGACGAAGCTGTGAAATGTTGATTAAGTAGTTTAACTTTACATTTTTAGAAAACGATTCATTAACAGATTTGCCTACTCCCATTGACTACACCTTAAAAATTTCCAGACTTTAGCTGGATCCCCGTTTTCGACGGAGTTGTGGATATATCGGCGTTGAGCTTTCCTACACACCTTACTAAATTGATTCCTGATAGATATGTATTTGCCCTGGTTACTATCGCTTGGATTCTTTTTAAATTTCGATTTCGCTATCGCTTTCTTTTTGATTAGCGTTTTTATCTCCGCAGTTGGCCATGGTGACGGAATGCGTTTGACTTTCATTTCTTGGATTGGCGCATATTTATTGTACAGAGACATTAATTTGGATGTAAAAATTGCCATTCTGTCATCAATGCAATCAGCACTGAAGAGAGAAACTCAGTCGATTTTGTTGGCATCGCTAACTAAGGCTTCCGAATCCATGCCCTTGAAGTTCCGCTGCAGAAAAATTTTCGATTTAGGTTTAGGAGGTCCGAGACGATAGGAAAAATGTAGTAAGTTATGATAAGAAAACTCGTCAGAAGAGCACTGGCCGTGTTTAGCTGCAAGGTCAGGGGAAGGGTACAAGGGTAAGGTATGACAGATAAGGAGCAGAGTGAGGGAAATAGTGCGTTGCATTGGAATAAAAAATAGATAAATTGCTGGATTTGATGATAGATTGAAGCGTCGACGAACGAGAATTATTTTTAAGGAAGTCGGTATTGAAATCACCTATGATTTTGAAATGACTGTACAAAGGAGTAAGTTATTCTAAGAGCAGCTCAAACGATGAGAAAAAGTGATGGGCAATAGAAGACGCCAAGAAGGATTTTAGAGTAAAGGAGTTCAACTTTCATATATGCAGAAGAGGGTAAGCAGGGATTAAGCCACGATTCACAGATAAGTAAAATGTGTAAATTCGTACAGTCAAAACATGCCAGCATATCGGGGAGGTGAGCCAGCACACTTGGAGCATTAATGTGTGTTCAAGGTTGAGTTTTCGGGAATGTCAGAGAGACGAAATGAGAGAGTCTCAACGATTGTTGGATCACCCTGAGAACTGAGATTACTACAAGCAGACAAAAAATCGGTACTATCATCACTATTATTCGTGTTCAAAGCCAGATCTGGACACTTGGTGGTCCTCAGACCGAAGATTTGGATCCAGTTGTATTTAATAATAGGTACTAGGTACATTTAACTTTACCAATGAAATTTCCGTATTGTATGCAATAAGTGAAAATATTTTTTCAAACTCTTTTATTTCTGTTATTCGAAGTAATCACCCATGCAATCGACGCAACTTTGCCAACGCATTGGCAGTTTATTGATGCCCTTCTCTCTCTCTCTCTCTAAACTCTTCAAAGGCATGGTGAGTATGGCGGATGAGGGGGAGCTTCCAACCCGAGCTCTTGCAGCTTGGAGACCACCAGACCTTGCACCTACCGACTATTACTTTTTCCAAAATTTAGACAACTGTTTAGTGGGTAAAAAATTCAATGCCCGAGAGGCCGTACAAAATGCCTTTAAAGAGTTTGTTGCCTCCCGTCCAGCTGATTTTTACATTGGCACTTTATTGATGCCCAATAAACTGCCAATGCATTGGCAAAGATGCGTCGATTGCATGGGTGATTACTTCGAATAACAGAAATAAAAGAGTTTGAAAAAATATTTTCACTTATTGCATACAATACGGAAATTTCATACCTAGGTAAAGACCTATTATTAAATACAACTGGATCCAAATCTGAGGTCTGAGGACCACCAAATGTCCAGATCTGGCTTTGAACACGAAATAACAGTAACCATTCTAAGTAAAAAAAAACAAGTCAAAGATGTCATCTTCTACTACAGGTTCAATTACTAGTTTATTGATGTTTTGTTTCTGCAAAATAGTGTATCAAATTGATGCCGTTTGTTAACCTTGTAAAGGATAAATAGCGAGAGCACTCACATAATGGTTTCACGTTTACCTCTTTGTTGTTACTTAATAAAGTAACATTCAATCCTTTAACTTTTTGGAAGAATAGTTTCATAATTTTAAAGGAGAAAGGGAAAACCTACATAGTTGTCTGGGCCAAGGTGTTAACTCATGTCTGGGCCAAGGTGTTAACTCAATCCTACTAGCGTTATTTGTAAGAGGATATAATGACAGGGCCTCAACGAAAATTTGGTGAAATTTGGCGATCGAGGAATCAAGTTTAATGAAATATGGTAAAGGTGAGGTAACATTTTAAAATTATATTTTTTTGATGTGATTTGCGAAATATTTTTGATAAACATAATAATAAAGATTAAACAGAGATGTGGCCAGCACATTGTCTAAGCAAATACCCATTTGATAAAATACGAAGCAAAATGATATAGTAAGAATATGTAACTTTTTTAGACTTAAATTTTC